TAAGAGAGAGAGAGAGAATCAATAATAAATTAAAACGTAAAGTTACTTTATCATCAATTATTATTATTTTCTTTCTTTTACTGGCTGGTAACGAGTCTGAGTTACTCACTGAAGGAAGACACTATAATCAAATAAATAGTAAAAATAACAATAATAACAACAACAATACAATTACTTGTGAGGTCTGAGGGTTTTCATCTCTTTTCCCTTCTTCTCTTTTTCTAGATGCAGCCATAGCAACATGATGAGGTTGAACAGGATGTAACTACGTTGTACATGTACATGTAGAGTTAGCAGCAAATTTCATGCACAGTGAAAACATGTAAAACATGTACCTCATCAAATTTTAGGGAGCTTAGTAGATCACATCTACTTTCTGTTTTATTCTTTGAAAGTGATACTAAAACAGTAACAATAAAAAGAACTCAATCAATTAATACCAGTAGTATAATCTTCAATATCAATATCTTCAATCTCGTCGTCATCTTTAAAAATAGCATCAGGGTTTAATTTAACCACACCCCTAGCTCCACCCACTATCCCTGAAGTATAATCAGGTTTGACATCAGGTAAAGAATTCTTAATAGATACCAAATGACCATACTAATAATGAGAACAAAATACTAATTATTATTATTATTATTATTTATTAATTACTTTATTTTGTGCTGTTTTAAAAAATGATGTAAGGTCACGTTGGGCTGGACCAAACTTATCGTATTTTTGAAGTTGAGGTCTTAACCAAAGAGGGAGATCATCCTGTCCCCTCGAATAAGCAAACCTATTAAAACACTATAAATAATGTATACATGACATGTACACCTTTTTCTCTTCCTCTCTCTTTCAAAGTCTCTCCTTCATTCATCTCTCTGTCCCACTCTATCCCTCTCTCTCTCCCTCTCCCCCCTCTCTCTTTCACCTTTCATCACAGAGGATGATTGCTCCATAGTCATTCTTGTGTCTAATAACTCGTCCAATGGCCTGATTGACAGCACGTGTAGCCTGCTGATTGTACCACTGCTTATCAGTTATTAACTATAAGAAAGAGAGAGAGGGGGGAGGGTTAATACAGCTGCTTATAATACAATAGTTTACTTCAGTTCTATTAAAATTTGATCTAGCATCTTTCAAATATTCCATTTTGAGCTGGACCTTGATAATTAAAAAATTAAAAAATTATAATACATGTACTCTGCTGTATGAACATGTACATGACTACATTTACATGTTCTGTGTATTGCTAATACTATGTACTTTGGGTTCAGCAAAAGGTGGATAAGGTAGTCCGGTAATGATAACAGCTCTTCCATTATTATCAGCAAAATCCAACCCCTCACTCACTTTCCCTCTACACACTCCAAAGAAAGCTCCACCCACTTTATCAGCCGATCCGATCTTCTCATAATAAGCACTCATGACCTAAAACATGTACATGTATACATGTACATGTATCACATGACCGTCATGTGACTAGTATTAATTAGACTTACAGAATTAAATTCATTTTTAAACTTTGGTTCTTTGAATATTTGCTTATGTTGCTCCATTCTCATGAATATGTTGCTATGCTACATGTATGTGTACATGTATGACATCATCACCGACCAATCAAATTGCAGTGTTCTTACCTCCTTCCAGTGGGTGAAAAGGGTTTCCATGACAACATACGAGGGAAAAAAGACCAATACCCCATCTGGTATGATTCTAAAAAAATTAACTAAAAATATAAAAATTAATAATCAGAAATTTAGGAGTAATTTTTTCTTTGACATGTACACATGTACATATACCTAATGTGTTGCCTAGACTATCCATGTAAGCTGGTGTAAATCTAAAAAAAATGTTTTAAATAAACAATAATTCCCTTTCTCCTCTCTCTCTCTCTCTCTTGCCTAGTTTGGTAAGACGAGTTTAAGTGAACATTATCTGGTCCTTTGGAAACCACACCCACCCACACTTGATCCTGCCCAATAACATGAGAACCCTGTAGACTCACAGGAAACTCCCTAATAATGATAAATAAATTTCTTTTAAAAAGAAGATTGAGTAGGATAGTAGATGTATACATACAACTATACTATAGTACACAGTTTTTGGCCAAATTTTGCCAAAAATAAAAAGGAGAGAATTTTCTATTTTTATAATGTTTTCTGATACATATACATGTGCTTATGTTGTGTAGAAAGTTTAAGCAGATTTCAATCAAAATTATTTTTTTATGAATTTTTAAAGTTGCTCCAAAATCGGGCCAAAGTCCCTACACTATAGTACATGATTTCGGGTCAAATTTCACCAAAAATGAAAAGGAGAGAATTTTCCATTTTTATAATTTTTTCATATACATATACATGTACTTATGTTGTGTAAAAAGTTTGAGCTGATTCCGATCAAAACTGGATTTTTTACAAAATTTTAAGTTACTCCAAAATCTGGCCAAAGTCTCTAACCCATAGTTTTTTCTTTAAAATGGCTCCAAAATCATCGCAAATTTTTATTACATTTTCTGATATATTAATGTCCTTATGCTATGTAGAAAAGTTTGAGACAAATATTTGAGCTCTAAAATTTTTAAAAAGATCTAATTTTGCTTGCCAAGAATTGGAAGAGATTGCCAAGTTCCTAGACGTTAGGGGCAGCAAATGTTGTCTTGATCAATAGATATTGTTAATACACTGTACAAAAACTTCTACTGATTACTAATGATGTTGACAAAAACACACGATTAAATTTATCAATTGTAATTGTACAAAAACTTTTTCTTTGCATTAACATATCTCCCCCAATGTAAACTTTGTCCCTACTCCACTGCATGCATTATTATTATATTAGACCTCCAGTAGCATTACTAAGTAGGATTCACTCCACTTCAAAATGGCTGCCACAAATTTGGAGCATTGCTACACTGGGAAAACAAGCTCCTATGCTTACTGGCTTCTTTAAGGATTCACCAGTGCAACTTAAAACCATGTTTATGAAGCAAAGTCAAAAATGAACAAAACTGCCTTGTTTTGCTCAGCTACTAGGAATGTAGAGTAAAATTTGTATCACAAGACTAGGATTGTCATTGGTAATGTATGGACAGTCAGTGATTCAAAATCATTCTGAATGACTGACTATCTATACTAACAACAATCCTGATGCAAGTTCTAAACTACATTGTAACAGGTGACCATTAATCATTTATCACATAATAAATGCAATGTAGAGTAGAATTGGTTAGTTGGATCTACACACTGGATCTACGTTGATCTACATATGTACTATAATACACGTAACCATACATTGAACCTCGAAAAATTTTTAATAAAATAAAACTTAAACTAATAGCTAGATTCTAAGGAAGTATCTACAAGGCATCTATGTTATTTTAAGGTTAGATTTGCATATTTATAGTTCAATTTTATTGCAACCGCGGCATTTATTGGCACCCGGCTTTTAATAGAGGTTATACCATGGTGCGTGGGTGGTTACCATGGAAACCTACACCCTCGACTACTTATCTCGTGGGAGTTATGTACCCATAACCACCTCCAGACAGGGATGTATCCTACACTTATATGGTATAGGACAATATACTGGCTTATGTTTTTTTCTTTTTCCCATTGTAAAGTAACTTTGTTTTTAAAATTGTCGGTGCTTTTAGGAAAATAACCTTTTATTGATAATGAAACACAAAATACACAAAATACACAATACAATACACAAAATACACAATACACAAAACATAAAAATACACAAGTACATGAAATCAGTTTCGTTGAAATCAGTTTCATTGACCATGTCTCGTAAACAATATACCGTATTTCCTTAAATAGAAGCCGCATTCGAATAAACGCCGGGGTAGCAATACAATTTAACTATAAATACGCAACACTGGCCCAGGAGTGACTCAATAGTTTAGTGGATAATGCCTGAAGTTTCAGAAGTCAAAAGAATGAGGTTATGGGTTCGAATCTCGCCCTGGGCCCAAGTTTTTTTATTTTTTATATATTTTTTGGAGGTTTAAATATTATTTTAGGAAATAGACGCCCAGGCTTTTATTTAAGGAAATACGGTACTCTTGTAAATGAAATCGTTGATAAAAATTTATAAACAAGTGATGTAGTTACTTAAAAGGATTATATATATTTTTAATGAATTTAGTATGATGGCTTTAGTAGCTTAGAAGCCATTTCTACAATTACTATTATCATTTAAAAAATAATGTTAACATTACAATAAAAAAAACCTCATTGACTGGACTTTAGACAGATGCAGACTCTTTACTTAGAAATGATTAATAACTATATACATGTACATTAAGCATGAAATAAGTGGATTTCCATTACAGTGCATTTCACTTTTTGTGTTCAAACATTTCTTATAACCTAAGAATTATGTATTACTTAAAGCACTGTTGAGAGTAGGTTACGGAAATTATTGCACGAGGGGTGATTGAGAGGAAAATGTAGCACAAGGTAAAGCCGAGTGCTACATTTTCCTCGAGACCATCCCGAGTACAATAATTTCCGTAATCTACAAATCAGCAGTGCTTTGATTGGTTTGTAGTGGTGCGTGGGCGGATCAAATTTCATTTCAAAAGTCGCACAAGTGGCCAGGCGCAAGGCATATTCCAACAGTGCTACATTTTCCTACCATGCGTGTTATTGAAGTTGTAGCACTGGCCAGTGGTGCCTTTGATCTGCCCACGCACCATACTACAAATTGTAATGAATATTGCAGTTGCTTTCAATAGAGGATATGCGTACTAAGTATATTCATAACTTTTAAGTACCGTATATCCAACCCACACAGTAAATTGGCTGCCATGTTGGACGTCAAGTTTATTAAGAGTTCAATGGGGGAAAACACATTTTCTTGCCTTGCTACCTTCTTGAGGCCTTTTTCGGAAGCTTAGAAAGCATCCTGAGGATCTAATGGGGTCTAGTAATCACCTGAAAGATTGCTATTAAGAAATACAGAGCGGTTTCCTGGTACCAAGCCTTTTTCTATCTTTTCTCCATTGCTGCCAATGGAAAGTTGACGTCCAACGAACTAATTTTTTTCTTGAAAGTTATTACGGTATGCAATGAATTCATTTATTTTGCAATGAATATACTTAGCACGCATATCCTCTATAATGTAGCTTTCACAATAAACAATAACATAAGCTGCCTTTAATTCACTTTAAAAGAGCATCTGCCGCTCTTAAGCAGGCTGACAGAGGCTAACACCAGAATGGCTGAAAGAAGTCCTTCTTCAACCTCTCCTCTCCTTCCTGAAAGCTCAGTTATGAATGGAAAACCAAATCTGAAGACTGTGTGTGCTATAGTGAGGACAAGCAAATGGTATCAGTTTGGCATACAGCTAGGAGTTGATGAGGAAATGCTGCAGGATATACTGTCTGACAGGTCAGAGACACAAGATAAAAGAACACAGATGTTTCGTCTTTGGCTTGCAAGCCAACCAGGAGCTAGTCACAATCAACTGGTTGAGGCACTGAGACTCAAAGTAATGGGAGAGGACAGAATGGCTCAGGAATATGAAGAAAAAGTGAAGGAGGAAGCATCTAAAACCACAAATGCTACAGGTAAAAGAATACATTACTGCCGTTTGTAAAATAAATTTGAAAAACTGAATAAAATTGCATTTTCAGTAATAACTTTTATGTTTAATCCATACAGAAGGAGCTCAAGTTGTGCAAGCATCAATAACACCTAATTGGAGCACAAGCACAGGTATATAAGCAAGAGTATGTATTCTTGATATAAGCTGTTGATTTTTCTACCACAAACACCACATAACACAAAATCATTTCAATTGCATCTTTAATTACACACTACATGTACCTCTCTCCCTCTGTCTTTCCAGTTATTGCTTCAATGCATCAGAAAGCATTAGAAGAAGAAGATCTAACAGTTCAAGCTCTTCAATTGGAAGAAAAATATCGCCAGCTCCTTCAGCTGATACAACAACTCTCACAAAAGGCCGATGTAGAAATAGTTAAAAACCAGCTAATCGATATATTGCAAGGAAAGTGCTTAAATCAGTCGCATGGAATTAGCTCTTACGTGGAACTAATCGATAAAATCAAAAACATGAATGAAGTATTCAAGTTCCTCGTTAAAAATCGTTTCGTTGGTTACCTAAATTATTACCTTCTCAAAGAATTTTCAAGCAAAGTCATATGTGGAGATGGGTACGAAATGGCAAAAGCTGAGGTAGTAGAGTACGAGAAGCACTATTGCCAGTTCATTGAAAAGCCTGCCTTTTGCCAACTGATTGAAGTTTTTGATGAGAACCCTCAACTAAACCCAGGCACTGTCGTAGGACTACCGATTGTCATTATTAGTCTCTCAAAAAAGTGGAAAACTCAAAACAAAAAAGATCTAAACGAATGGGTGCCTTTTCTAGAAGAGAACAAGCACCTACTCCAAAGTATCGGCTACAAATGCATACTAATTACTTATGCCATTTTTCCTGTTCACCTGCTCAAAGTTATGAATTTTTTAAGCAATGAAGAACAAATGGAAAGACTTAAAAAAAATGGAATAACAATTGAAACTCCTTCATATACAATGGAAATAGCAGAGAGACTGAGAGAAGCATCAACAGAAGAGTTGGTAGAGGAGGAAGAAGATACATCAGATGTAATGCAGCGTCAACACTACTTATTGCTGGAAAAAGTAGAGAGGATTGAACAGGGACATTTAGAGATTCAACAAGAGCAGTTGAGGGACAAGGCATACTACCTTGTACAAATCGCAATAACAAGAGCAACAGAGCATTTGAAACTTTGCCAAATTAAAAATTGCTACAAGCAAAAGTTAAAAATTCAAAACGAGAAGTTTTCAGTACAAAGTAAAATTTTTGAAGACAAATTTCAGCAGCTTTTTGAAGAAATTGATTCACTAAAATCAAGCATACAAATGGCAGAAAGAGAGCATTGCAGGAGATATCCTGAAAGAGTACTTATTACAGAAATTAGAAAAGTATCTAGAAAAGTCATGTTAAGAAAACTTAAAGGAACTCAGAAAACTTTTCCAAGCACAGACAGTGGCCTCAGTATCAATACTGAAACACGAGTGACTTTTTGGTTACATGTACATGTATTTTTAAATATCAATCAAATAAATGCATAAATTATTTGAATAATTGCCTGCTGCTCATAAAAATTGCAAAATTATTGGCCTCACATACAGGAGGTATAGGTACATGTAGTTGTTACTTACATATATCTATGCTTTGCAGTAGGTAAAATAGTTCCATCGAAATTTCCAAAAAATTTCAGCCTAGAAGGGAGATAAATGGTGGTTACCAACTTCAAGTGATATTTTTTTTTCTTTTACTGGTTAGTCTAAAGTACACATGTATGTGCTTATAAAAATTAATAACAATAATAACAGTAAATTGTAAATATACCTTGTTTAAAGATATTCTGATGTCAACAAACCACACTAGCTTCCTGTATTTTTAAAAGTGATACTAAATAATAATAATAAGGATGTACCTTTCATAGGTCAAGTATTCGCATATCAATTTTGTGAATGAGCTGTCAAGAACAATTGTAATTTTAATAAAATTAATCTATATTTACTCTAAATGAGGACTTTACTGTTTCTAATGTAGATCTATGTATATTACATGTTAACACTATGTTTTTAAGATTCAAAACATTTTTGTTTTTGACAATGATAATACATAGCATCCTTTATAAGGAATGTTATGTACATGTATATATAATTAAAATTTTATAGATAGATAATAATAAAGTAACTTTGATTTAGAGTTTCTTTCTCAATCGTTCATCATCAGATTGCTCCTGGCTGTCTCTCTTTTACCTATTGATAATAATAATAATAATAATAACAATTAAATCAGTTTCTCTCTCTCTCTCTCTCTCTTACCTCTACTACTGCCAGTGGATGGTTTTTGCCAGTATGAGAATGATATGCTTCATAAAAATGCTCAGCATGTCGTTTCTTAATAAAATGATACACATCTACAAAAATGATAAAAACAGAACCGTTACCTGTCATTAAGCAAAATTAAGATTGGTATTGAAGCTAATGATATGCTTAGAAGCCACAAATTCAAGGAATGCTAAAGGAAAGGGTAATTTATTACATTTACAAAAAGATTTGAAAAATTTACCACAGTAAACATAGATCTACATCCCAACTCATACATGATACATTACACTAATTCAATACTGCTATATATGGTACTATAGTATATACTCAATTGCAATAGTCAAGTATGCAAGAACTCCCATTTCTGAAAGACAGGACATTAATTGAAGAAGACAGTTGCCAAAAGCCTGAAAGCTGGATGACTGTCTCTTCTCTCTCAGTTATGAATGGTAAACCAGATCTGAAGATTGTGTGTGCTATAGTGAGGACAAGCAGATGGCATCAGTTGGGTATACAACTAGGAGTTGATGAGGAAATGCTGCAGGATATAGAGACTGACAAATCAGAGACACAAGATAAAAGAAGACAGATGTTTCGACTGTGGCTTGCAAGCCAACCAGAAGCTAGTCACAATCAACTGGTTGAGGCACTGAGACTCAAAGTAATAGGAGAGGATAGTATGGCTCAGAAATATGAAGAAAAAGTGAAGGAACTAGAAGCATCAAAAACTACAGAAAGTACTGAAATAGGTAAATCATGAAGTGTAAAAAAAATTTGTCATAATAATAAATGATTATTTACAGGAGCTCAAACTATGGAAATATCATTGTTTTCAACAGCACCTGCTTGGAGCACAATCACAGGTACATTGCAAATCTACACTGTAACAACCAATAGCTACAAAATCACATTAGTTATAACTCTTTCCCTTTTTTTCTAGTTGTCACTTCAATGCATCAGAAAGCATCAGAATTAGATCTACTAACAGTGCAAGCCCTTCAATTGGAAGAAAAATATCGCCAACTCCTTCAGCTGATACAACAACTCTCACAAAATGCCAACGTAGAAGTAGTTAAAAACCAGCTAACAGATATATTGCAAGGAAAGTGCTTAAATCAGTCGCATGGAATTAGCTCCTACATGGAAATAATTGATAAAATTACAAGCATGAATGAAGTATTTAAGTTCCTCATTAAAAATCGTTTCATTGGTTACCTAAATTATTACCTTCTCAAAGAATTTTCAAGTGAGGTTATATGTGGAGATGGGTATGAAAAGGCACAAGCTGAGGTAGTAGAGTATGAGAAGCACTATTGTAAGTTCATTGAAGAGCCTGCCTTTTGCCAACTGATTGAGGTCTTTGATGAGAACCCTCATCTAAATCCAAGTACTGTAGTAGGACTACCGATTGTCGTTATTACTCTTTCAAAAATGTGGAAAAGTTGAAGTAAAAAAGATCTAAATGAATGGGTGCCTTTTCTAAAAGATAACGAGCACCTATTTCAAAGCATTGGCTACAAATGCATACTAATTACTTATGCTATTTTTCCTGTTCACCTGCTCAAAGTTATGAGATTCCTAAGTAATGAAGAGCACATGAAAAGACTTAAAGAAAACGGAATAACAATTGAAACTCCTTCATATACAATGGAAATAGCAGAGAGACTGAGACAAGATGAAATTCAGTGTCAAGATATTTTAGACCTAGATCTTTTGCTTGAAGAAATAGATCTAATCAAATTACGCTTGAGAGAGTCTGAAAGAGTTCTTGAGCTCGAGCCAGAAAGACAATTACCAACAAATTTCTCGTCAAAGTTTTTTTAAAAGCTTCATCAAATAAGCCTCTTCAAAGGGCTGTCTCAAGTGGCTGTGATAGTGGTTACTGTTCACAAAGTAATTCCGCTGTAAAGGCTGTAAACCTTTAAAAGGGTGCAAGTAGATCTACAACCATGCATGCACTGAGTGTAACTTTAGTGTAATAATTAAAAGATAAATCTTAACAATAAGTTGAACATGGTTATCATTACTTTTGTTGTTGTTAAATATTATTATTATTATTATTATTACTACTATTATTATTATGAGAGAGAGAAAGAGAGATATGGGAAAAGGGGGAGAAACCCATAATCACAAAAATGGATTATTATTATTATTATTATTATTATTATTATTATTATTATTATTATTATTATTATTATTATCATTAATAATTTTGATATTTTCAAAACTGTAAGTACAAAGAAGTATGAGAGTTCCTATACTTATTACAATGGAATAAACAAGTTGTATCAATTGTACACAAGTGAACGTAGGTTAAGAGTCTTAATGGCTTCAGACTTTTCTTTACAAATAATTTTAATAAAGAAACAATCAATGTATGCATCATTTGCCCTGCTACAGCTAGCCCACACATAGCAAATACACTAGATAACTTATGTCTACCATACTGTGTAGGGAATTACTATGGTATGTGAATGTTTTTAAGATGCTTAAATGTGCATAAAAAGATCATTTGGCACAATCTAAAGA